TGTGTGTGTGTGTGTGTGTGTGTGTGTGTGTGTGTGTGTGTGTGTGTATTTTTTATTTAAATCCAGTACTCTGGAAATTTTATAGAGGGATCCAGGTTCAAAGCCAGTCTAGGCTACATAGCAAGATTCTAAATCTTAGCAAAATAAACAAAGACCCTGTCTCAAATAAATAAATGGTAAAGATGCCTATGCATCCTAGTGTGTGCTGTAGTAAAGAGAGGTATCATGGGGACATATAGCCTGGGAAGCAGATTCCAAAAGACAGACAGAACCTAGCGTTCCCAGTCCTAGGCATGCACCCAAAAGAAGTGAAAATGTACATTCCCATTAAAACATACACACAGATGTATATAGCAGCATGTTGGAATAGCCACAAATGGAAGCAGCCCAAATGCCTATCAGTGGATAAATGAATAAAGATACTGTGTATATCTGGGCAGAGAGACAGAGGCAGGTGGATCTCTGTGAGCTCTGAGCCACCCTGGTCCATATAGTGAGTGCCAGGACAGCCAGGGCTACACGGTGAGCTCCTGTCTTTAAAAGCAAACAGACAAAAAGTAGTGTATTTAAACAAGCAAATACCATTCACTGCAAGTACCAAACATGGTGGCACTCAGCCTGTAATCCCAGCACTTGGATTGGAAGACCAGAAGTTACAGTAAGTTCAAGCTAACCTGGGCTACGTGAGATCCAGCCTCTGGGGAGAAAAAAAAAATGAGTGAACGATTAAAATACATACCATGCTAATGAAATAAGCCATACAAGTTTGATCCCACTGATGTGAAATGACCACCAAAGGCAAGTCTATAGTGATCAATGGTAGGTTGGTGGTTACTGGGCTAGAGAGGACCTGGAATGGAGAGATTTGAAGTTTCCATCTGTGCATTTGAGTTGCATCATGTGAGCACCTGGCTTATTCAGAAGAGGAGGAAAGAAACTTAAAAAAAAAAAAAAGATTTATTTATTTATTATATATACAGTGTTCTGCCTGCATGTACACCTGCATTCCAGAAGAGGGCACCAGATCTCGTTATAGATGGTTGTGAACAGCTGATCTGCTTACATATATTATATGTGGTTGCTGGGAACTGAACCCAGAACCTCTGGAAAAGCAACAAGTACTCTTAACCTCTGAACCATCTCTCAGGCCCAAGAACTTTTATAGTATGGGATAATTTTAGTGTGGGTTCTGTTTGAAGGATTTCCTAGGAAGCCTATGTGAACAAGGTAAAGTGTAAGTTTCTCAAATGAAGAATGAAGTTTGAGATCTCTGGCACCACTAAGGATATTTACAATTTTTAGTTATGTCTCAGACCAGTAGGATGGGAACTTTTTCAAGCCATAAAGTTCCTGCTGGGCTTGGGGATATAGCTCAGTTGGCAGATTGCTTGCTGGCAGGCATATAAGGCTCTCTGTTTGATCCCCAGCACCTCATAAAACAAGGTGGGTTGTAGTGTACATCTGTAATCCCAGCACTTGGGAGTCGGAATCAGGAGAATCAGAGCTTCCAGGTCCTCCTAATACATTTTTAGAGTCATTTTGTTGTTGCAGTTTGTTTGTTTGTTTTTTGAGATAGGGTTTCTCTGCATAACCTTGCCTGTCCTGGATGGAACTCACTCTGTAGACCAGGCTGGCCTCAAACTGACGGAGATTCACCTGCCTCTGCCTCCTGAGTGCTGGGATTAAAGGCATGTGTTATCACCGACTGGCTTAATCTAAAACTTCTCACTGTATAGATTCTATTCTGGCATGTTTTACTTCCCACCTCTGTAAGTGAACAAGTAAATTCACTCAACTACTACGGCTTCTGACTCTCCTAAGGCCTGGACATGCTGAGCTACTGTTAGATGAGAGTCTCTCTAGGCCATAAGCTGAATGCATTTTCTCTTATACTTAGGTGTCAGGAAGTCTTGGCTTTACCCAGAGGCTTTGGAGTTCACAAACTGAAAATACAGCAGTCAGGTTTACTGTTTGAACAGAGCCGCTGTGCAGTGCAAGTGAAAAGAGCTGATGGTCCGGGCCGACTCGTACCTTGTGGTGCAGGTAAGGCATTCAGACTGACTTTCCCCACAGTAACTTCTCTGACAGACTGCCCTGGGACAGTCTGTCCCAAGGACACTGTAACTCCAGTGTATCCTTGAAAGATGCCCTGTGAGATCCTGACAGGGTCTGGGCCTTCTTTGTATTCAGGTTAGAAGAATATTGCTCCACATGGCTGAGAGTTAAGAAATTCTATTTAACTATATATATATATATATATATATATATATATATATATATATATATATATATATATATATATATAT